TAAATGCACTTAATTAAAGTATACTGTCTTTCACAGTCAACACATATGGCTTGTTGGTTAGTTTTAAAGGAAAAGAGCACTTTTAGATAAACACGGCAATAATAGATGCACTCGTGGAGGTAGGAAAACAAAGTTCTTTATGAACCGCAGGATTGCAGGATTGCTGTACTAAAGATTTAAATGCAAAAGGAAAGGCAGTAGAGCTAACTATTTCAGTCAATGGTAAGTTTGTGATAACGTAAGAAAAGTAGTTTGAATGTTTTGCCACTTGCTAGAGCAACTTAACATATAAATCTAGAATTCTAGGTATAAATTGGCCCACTTTTTAGTTCAGAAAAGTATACTTTTAAGTGTACTTAAAGTGTATCTAAACCATCTGTTTTTCTTCCTATTGCAACTATACTGTGAACTATACTACAAGTGGTACTCTTTGTTTAATAGCTTAGTACTTCTAGCTGTCTTATGAGTTTATGAAAGTACACTGTATAGTACAGTTTAATAGGTTTTATATTGAAAATATGTCTGCTTTTGCTAAAAAAAAAAAACAACAACTTTTAATAGGATAAAAGACATACTTTTAATAAATTTTAATTTTGTAAGTTACCTGTATTTTTTTAGTTATTATTACTTAATCAAAACAAGCCAACTGCAGTTTAATTGATATTACTTTGGAATGCACAATTTAAAATTATTTATGAAAATTCATAAAAACTGTTTTTGCAAATGAACTCTTGGTATATTCTCTTTCTCCTCTAGTACTCCTGGTATTTCTTTGAGGTTTTAGTCAAGTCTATGGCTCAGTACCTGACTGAGACGGGCAAGGCCAAGGTGAGGATGGGCAACGTCACCGCATGTTCTTTTACGGGCAAACACCACTTGTGTTCTCACAGTAAAATCTAGTTTATTTCTGAACTTCTTCATATGGTCATGTCTATAATCACAACAAACAAAAACCGGATGTTATTTTCATGGCAGTTGTAAGATAAACCCGTGATTTAACCCCTGCCGTGTCCTTTAGGTGTCTAGGAACCAGCGTTTCTCAGCTTCATTCTATCACTCCGTGGAGACCTTAGTGACAATGCTGATGCCTCATATAACACAGAAATACAAAGACAACCTGGACGCGACACGAAACGCCAATCACAGCCTTGCTGTCTTCATCAAGGTGAGCCGAGCTGCTGGTCTCTTTTCATGTTGCTGGAAGACATCAAGCATCAAATCTTCCCTATTGAAAAATAAAATACTAAAATGTATTTAAAATACATTTATTTTGTACTAAGTATACTACAAATATATTTACATATTTATGTGCTTAATAAAAATACCCTGCAATTGTTCTTTTAGTATACTAAACTGGTATACTTAAAGTCTGCTAAATTGGAACAACTAGTTTTGTACTTAATGCACTTTATTTGTGTGGAAGCAGTGCTGAAGTCCAACTAAAGACATACTGAAGTATATTTGATTGTGCTAAAGTGGAACTATTGCAAGTATACTTCAGGTACACTTTAAATATATTGCATTTAAAGACTGATATTATACAGAGATCGTGCAATCTTTATTCATATTGATATTAAAGCACATTTTAGACTTAATATTAAGAAATGTGCATTGTGCAATAAAGAATAAAAACAAAGTTTAATTATAATTAAAGTGATATGTCTATAAATATGCAAATTGATTTGAAGTATACTTAGTATAAAATAAATGTATTTTAAATAAATTATGGCATAGTTTTTTTTTTATTTTTTTTATTTTTTTTTTTTAGTTAGAAATCAAGTACAATATTCCTTTTGGTTTGATTTTATTTGTACAGTAGTTCAACAAAACTATTTGTGATATATTCCAGCAAAACGTACTTCATCAATAGCAGCTTACTTCTGAATTTGGTTCACATCAACCACAAACCAAATTACACTTCTCACAAAAGCACTGAAGTGTGTTTATGTGAAGCGCTCAACAATTCAGATTTCACAACCTTATGATAAAATAAACGTGGATCTGCAATAACCCAGTAACCCTAAGAGACTGTTTACAATCTCAGAGTAAGTTTTACATTTAAGGCAGTGTTATTTTTCCATTTTCATTTGAATAATTTTATGTTATTTTGTCATTTGTATTAATTTATGTTGTTATATATTACTATTTAGCTTCATTTTTTCTTTAGTTTTGGTTTTAGTCATAAGTAACAACACTGGTTTAAAGGCAAAAAAGACACATCAGGTGTCTTGAATCAGTCAGTAAACTCGACCATTGTTTGTTTTCACCAGCGCTGTTTTACCTTCATGGACAGAGGGTTTGTCTTCAAGCAGATCAACAACTACATCAACTGCTTCATGCCCGGAGACGCAAAAGTAATATGCTTCTGCTTTTATCTCCATTTACACCCATATATGAAATTAGGATTGTTCTTTTTTTCAAATATATATATTCCATCTTCTATAATTTGCCATGATGCAGTCTGATGCCTGTCTCTCTGTTTCTTCCTCCCTCAGACGCTGTATGAGTTTAAGTTTGAGTTTCTGAAGGTGGTCTGTAATCATGAGCACTACGTTCCTCTCAATCTGCCCATGCCGTTTGGGAAGGGCCGAATCCAGCGCTTTCAAGGTAATCAGTCATTAAAGGGAAGAGCAGAAACACACAATAGTCAAAGACCTTGTTGAATATTGATTGAATGGGACTGAATCGAAGGCTGATATGAGTTTTTAACATAATTAGTATATTTTATTATGGCCTTCAAAATAGCTGTCTTCCTATAATCCAGTGGTTCTCAACCAGGAGCTTTCAGCAAACATCTAAGGGGGCCGCAAGATGACCTAAATGATTTAAAATAAGACAGAAGGAGCATTAAAATAAGCAAAAACAACTACAAATCAAGATTTCTTATTTACATTTTTTTTCCAAGGTCTTGAAAACCCTGAATATGTGATATATAATATTAAATTAGACTAGACAGTATATCGCATATTGTCTGATTTCTAGACCTGGAAATGTAGGCCTAATGCAAATTATTAAAATCTTATATATTAAATATTTTATTTGGGACCTTTGAGTCAAAAAGGTTGAGAACCACTGCTCTTTTATAATATATTTATAATAGTGGTGTCAAAATTAGCACGTTAACGCAGGCAATTAATTTTTTCAGTTAAACGCGTAAAAAATATTTAATGCAATTAACGCAGGGGCGGGGCTAGGGTTGGCCACCCCACTCACAACTGCTGCTTCTGTCACTTTTTCTCTTGACAAGAAGTGCATTTATTCACTTATATGCTCCACTTCACTTCAGCACCAGGCGCGAGTCAAGCGAGTGCGGAAACGGTACTGTGCTCGCAGCGCGTGCTCTTTAATTGCACGCACAAAGGCGCCGGTGCGCGCTGTAGCCTGTATCCATTCATATTAAAGCAGGAAATAAACTACGTGCATGCAATGTCGTGGTCAGTTAAGTCATGAAGTTACCAAAAAGGTGATTAAAGCTGCCTTAAAAAACTTCAATTTCTGTATATTTCTGATCAAGAGCATAGGTAAATATTACATTTATTTATAATAGGTTTATGTGAACATTGTTTTAGATTCTAATTTAAATTAGAAGTTATTTTTTAAAGTCTAATAAATGTTAAAATTGATAGCTCTCAGTTATACTGTAATGTTGAATGGCTAGAGTCAGTGGTTAAATGTTGGGGGGGGCAATTTTATAGAGAAATCAGTATTGGTATCATTGATACTGGCCTTCAGTCATGGGTAGTCAATGGTTAAATATTAGGGGGGGGGGCAATTTTATAGAGAAATAAGTATTGGTATCATTGATATTGGCCTTCAGTCATAAAAAAAAAGATGCCATTAAACAAATATTTAAAAATATACTGTCTTTATGTTGTTTGTACATTAATTTGAAGATTGAATGTGAAATTACTGCAATATAAAAGTACATTTAAAAACTTTCATGTTAGGTGGGATTTGCATCGCGATTAATTTCAGAACGATTCGATTAATTAGTTAATTTAATATATATTCTGTATATCGCAAGTCAGCTAAAAAATATTGAAACATTATTTTATGGCCATATCGCCCAGCCCTAGTAACTTGATCCCTAGTACAATCTGTGCTGCTCGAGTCGGGAACTGTTTCAGAGGGTTCAGTCCATTTTTTCGAACTGGTTCAAGTAGTTCTGAACGGAACCAATAAATTGACTTGACATAAACAATGACACTATTGTCTTAAAGTTGCTTTACAGCAGAATCTGAATCTGATGTTTTTAATGTTAGGTGGGATTAATCGCAATTAATTTCAGAAAAATGTCCGATTAATTAGTTAATTTTTTTTTAATCGATTGACAGCACTAATTTATAATAATTAATAAAGTTTCCAAAAAGTAGTCTATACTTAGCTATGCATGTTCCAAGACTGAAATTTAGTCACATTCAGTTAAAACATTTAAATGCATCATAGTCATGCAAGTGTGAAAAACAATTTAATTGATGTTTATTTTTTGCGCACATGCTCTAAATCAGGGGTCTTCAACTAAAATTGCTTGAGGTCCAGTAATGAACCCTCCTCACCAGGCGAGGTCCAATTATATAGCCTACCTAAAAACATGAATTGATGGTTTTTGCCAGACCATGGTATCTGCAGGATATTTAAGCTTCCATTTAAGACTTTTAATTACCTTTTTAAGACCTGCACAAATAAAAATGACTGTAAAAAAGCATGATTTAGAGAGACAGGTTTTCTCAAAAAAGTTAAAAAATGATAAACTTGAATATTGAGTCAAAAGTATTAATAATTATATTAATCTAAACAATTATTATCAAGCATTATATTAATTAAATAACATGTAAATGTATTTTACTGTCTTAATTGCTTACCTTTTTATAATACATTATCTTCTTGTCGATCCACCAGTTCACATTTACAACTCTGCGTGTTTGCTGCGTAAAAACATGGGCTGATTTTCGCAGTGGTCTGAACAAAAACAGCAGACGGGCTGATTGTAAATGCACATTTACTTCCTTCCAGCAGGTGCCGCTTTAGGAACAGCAGAAATAAAGTGGTTTCTCCGGTAACGGCAGCAGACTTTGAAGCATGCAGCGCTCATATTTATTCAATGAAATCATAGCCTTTTGAAGTTTAATCGCAATTCTTGTTTTCTGTCCCCAAATTTAAGACCTCCTGAAATCATAATTAAGATGTTCTTGTACCACTTAAGACTTCTTAAGTACACGTCAACGTTCCTAGTTGTTTTTTACATCTGTCTGTGCGCCACTCTCTTCTCTCTTCACTGCACTCAAGCCTGCACCCAAACTGCTGTATTGATATAAATTTGATTCTATAAGAAATTAGCGTTTGGCATTTATTTATTTCATTATTCACGGATTTGGACCGGAGTCCACCTGTTGGCGACCCCTGCTCTAAATGATGACATAATACTATTCCAATATAATTGTTTCTATAGTTATAATGCCTGTTGTTTCCATTCCTATAGTTCAGGAATGATGTTTTGTATTTTCGGTTCTGAACTCACATCCTTCTCTCTGTGTCTCTGTCAGATCTTCAGCTGGACTACTCTTTAACGGATGATTTCTGTAAGAATCACTTCCTGGTGGGGCTGTTGCTAAGGGAGGTGGGCGGAGCTGTGCAGGAGTTCAGAGACGTCCGTCAGATCGCTGTACAGGTGCTGAAGAACCTGATGATCAAACACATCTTTGACGATCGTTACTCCTCCAAGGTGAATGAGCACCGTAGTGTGTCACGAGCACGTGTGCTAAGAACACGGCTTTGAATATATTAACTATAAAGCGTGTGTTTTGTATGTTTTTCAGGGTCAGCAGGCTCGCTTGGCTACGCTTTACCTGCCTCTTTTCAGTCTGCTGCTGGAAAATGTCCACAGGTTCAACATCAAAGATGTGCCGCCTGTCACCAACCAGACTAACATTGTAAGACTGACACCTAGTGTTTGCTTCAGGCTGTGCAGCCATACAGATGCAGGTTTAAAGGGATAGTTTACCGAAAATGACAATTCAGTCATAATTGACTTACCCTTATGTCATTCCAAACCTAGTTTAGTTTTTTCTATAGAACGCCAAAGATATTTTTTTGAAAATGTCAGTATTTTTGTCCATACAATGAAAGTCAGTAAGGTTCAATGTTGCTTAGGACACCTTTGTCTTTTATTTTATGAAAACAGCGGCATTCTTCAAAATGTATTCTTGTGTGTGTTACAGTGTCGGAGCATTTCATTTATTGGATGACATTTCTATTTTTATTAGAACTGAGAATTTGCCCTGATTTGACATTTGATTTAATTCTGATTTAAAGGGTCTCGATTCGTTTAGATTTTGATTTGGTTCTCTGTTATTAAGAATACTCCACTGAAATCATTGATAATAACTGATATTAATAAAAAATATTTCTTGAGGAGCAAGTCAGCATGATTTCGGAAGGATCATGTGACACTGAAGACTGGAGTAATGATGCTGAAAATACAGCTTTGCATCACAGAAATAGTGTGTGTTACAGTGTCGGAGCATTTCATTTATTGGATGACATTTCTATTTTTATTAGAACTGAGAATTTGCCCTGATTTGACATTTGATTTAATTCTGATTTAAAGGGTCTCGATTCGTTTAGATTTTGATTTGGTTCTCTGTTATTAAGAATACTCCACTGAAATCATTGATAATAACTGATATTAATAAAAAATATTTATTGAGGAGCAAGTCAGCATGATTTCGGAAGGATCATGTGACTGAAGACTGGAGTAATGATGCTAAAAATTCACCTTCGCATCTCAGGAATAAATGACATTTTAAAATATATTAAAATAGAAAACTTATTTTAGATATTAATAACATTTTACAATATAGACTTATACTTTTTACAGTGTATTTGATTAAATAAATACAGCCTCGGTGAGCATAAGAGACTTTTTTCAAAAACAATTTTACTGTCACCAAACTTCACACATCCATTGAATAAAGGTGAACATTCTTGAGATGTATCAATATCATATGTATCAATAATTAATATCAGTATCAGATTGCTTGAATTATTTTGATCAGAAAACAATGTAGTTGCAAGTGTAGTTCTCAAAAGTAAAAAAGACATGAACATATACTAACATGCTAACAAAATGTATAGTAAAATACAAATTGCAGTACAACGAGTCACCAAAATATAGTGGGTTAACAGGTTGCTCTTTAAACCAACTTCTTTTTGTATCGTTTCAGAATGGCCGTGATGATCATGTCATGATGACACCTACAAAAAATATGGCCAGTCCAGTGGACAGCAGTCTGCATAAAGAGGTGTTTGGAGTGATTTCAGGAACAGGTGAGACACAGCATCCTAACCAGCCACTATCTGACAGTTTTACAGAAACGAGCTCTTCATTTGTCCCCATTGAAATGCCTTTTGACTATTAATTCCTATGTCAGGCCTTACAGGGTTAAAATAATGTTTTAACCTGTTCAGAGTATTGTTCTATGAGAAATATCGTTTGAGAGTGATTGTGTCCAGTGTATTGATGTGTTTTGTGTTTGTCAGTCTCTCCTCACACTCCGACCGTGAGCTCTGTACGGCACACTGACTCACGCAGCTCTCTTATCGGCACGGATTCTGCAAACGGCCTATCAGAGCGCAGCATTGACAAGCCACACCCCCTAGACAAGGTACTGCTCACATGACCTGATTGTCATTTTTGTGTACATTATTTATGATGGACTGTTATCATGTTTTATGTTTATGTGCCGCAGTGTGTGTGCGTGTGTAGGGTTGTATGTTTATCCCAGTAGTGTGTGTGTGTGTGTGTGTGTGTGTGTGGGTGTGCTAACCTGTGGTTGTGTGTCTCCTGCTGTCGCTGCGTTCAGCGGGAACGTTTCACTCGCCGTCACTCTGCCAGCGTGCTGTGTTTCTTTACTGTCTCAGAGGAGTCACCGCTCTCTGCACGTCTCAAATGCCAGACCATGGACTTCTCTCTGCTGTCTGCACCGTCTGAGCAACACACACACCCTACACAAGTATTACATCAGCGCTGACCTCTGACCCCCGCCCTGCTATTACCACTCACCTCTGACCTCTTACCCTACACGGTCCCAGTCTGGTGTTCCTGTGTGTGCATGTGGCTTTACTGATCCTCTGTTCCCTTAGCTAGAAGATAATTATTGACTGTCTTAAAGGGGTCATATTGCATTTTGTTTTCCCTGAGGGTCACTTGTACAAGGGATAGTTCACCCCAAAATCATCATTTGCTCACCCTCGTGTAGTTCCAAGCTTGTATGAGTTTCATTCTTCTGTTGAACATAAAAGAAGATATGTTAAAGCATGTTTTTAATCAAGCAGTTGTCGGTAGCCATTGACTTCCATAGTATGGAAAAAATACTATGGAAGTCAATGGCTACCGCCAACTGTTTGTTTACAACATTCTTCAAAATATCTTCTTTTGTGTTCAACAGAAGGCAGGCCGTTTTTTTTTTTTTGTTTGTTTGTTTTTTTGCAGCTGTACCTTTAAGACTTTGATATGTAAATGATCTTTCATTTTTTGTGAATGTATTAAAAATTATTTAGATTTTTGAAAATTATTTTAACATTAGTTTTACATCCCTGTTTTATAACATTATTATATTTCACTCACACCTAGCTTTAAAACTCCTGCTCAAATGGACATAGCTGCCCTCAGAATACTAAGACAGTCTGCTGCATTGTTTTTTTTTTTTTCGTTTTTTTTTCACATATGCACTTCTGGACAGGAACAATAACACTTGTAATGAATTATGGGTTTATTACAGAAAGAAAACATGATTCATCAGTGATCAGTTTATATTCAAATTCAGACCATTCAGCTTCAGTTCTGTGAGTTTATTATGTAATTGAAAATTAATGTAGTTTGTGAAATTAGTTCTATTTTTTACAGCGTTATGACATAATTTCAAGGAAATGTATGTTATTTGTTATATTCCATATGTGTTTGATTATTAAATCAGGTTTATAGCAGGTGTTAACAGTGATTAAGGACGGGGTTGGGTGGAGTTGCTATAAACCAATTAAGCTAATTTGCTTAGAGAGAATGTCAATCACTGTGTCACACCCCCCACCACACAACACACTACACCACATCTGCCATTTGGGGCGCTATAGGGCCCCCTGCACCTGCCCACCACAGCCCTGCAGGGGGCCCCAGAGTCATTCAGAACCTCAGCGACTCAAGATCAAAGATTCTGAACATTCTCTCTGTCATTGTGATGTCATCAGATCAGCTGTAAATTCTGCTTCACTTGCACACTGGGTTTATAGGGGCTTGTGTATTTAAAGGTACATGGGTGAATCAGTGCTGAGAGCCACAGGGAAAAACAGGAAGCTGAAAGTACTGGGGCCCCCTGCAGGGCTGTGGTGGGCGGGTGCAGGGGGGCCCTATAGCGCCTCAAAAGGCGGATGCGGTGTAGTGTGTT